GTAAAAATATATTCTCCTCCTTCACCTACACGTCACATGACTATCACACGATAGACCCAGGAACACATTTCAAAAGCCCCTGCTGGGTATATTGGTAAGCCACTGGTGCTACAACCACTGAGTGCTGAACAATGGGGGACACTGGACCGTATCAACGAGGCTTTGTTGAAAGAATATTCTGTTAGAAGACAGATGTTATTGACAAGGTGTAGCGTAACTGTCCAGTCTTTTAAATGGTCTGATAGAACCAAGGTGAGCTACCTCAGGGAAGAGAACACAGTTTTGACACACAGCTGCTTTACTTATGCTAAAGTACTTGTAATTGCAATGCAAGGTTTTATGTATTTATACAGTAGATGATAATAATTGTGTTATAAAAAATATACAAATCCTTCCTTCAAAAGCATAGACTAAAGGCTTGAACAATGTAAAAAGATATGGCTGCCTGGCTTAGCATTAGCTGCATGATTATGCAACCTTTTTCCTTGTCTTTGTATATGTATGAAGTTAAGGTGGTGTTGCATGGTGTTTGTTCATTGCTGTAGGGTGAGGGTGAATCATTTACTAGTGTCTATCAATACTATTACTTATACTAAAGTACTTGTAATTGTAATGAAAGGTTCTATTGTACACATGTCACATTATAGTTATACAGTAGATGATGATAACTGTGTGTTAGAGTGTTTGTTGTTGTTCATTGCTGTAGGGTAAGGATGAGTCATTTACTAGTGTCTATCAATCAAAATGGACTCCATTGAAGGAGAAGGCTCCAATACCAATAGCTAGAGTACTAGCTGCTAAAAATGGTATAATTATTATCACTACATGAAGTACTAATACTTGTACAGTGTATATGTACATTATTTTATTGTGCTATTCTATTTATAGATTTATTGAGTATAGAGAGGACCAGTAGTGGCTCCGTTAGACAGAACACAGTCTCTGATATTAACAAGGTTTTGATTGGCTCCGTTCCTGACAGAGGGGGCAGACCAAATGAGACACGCCCACCACCTGAAATGCCTTCGTTCAAGCAACGGACTGAAGCACCAAGAGAGAAGAGAGATGGAGGAGGTTAAGAGAGAGACAGGAAGAGAGAAATATATAATTATAATTTTACAGGTGATGGTAGAGGTGGGTGGGGCAGAGGAGGAGGAAGAGGTGGCCGTGTCCAAGGAGGTAAGGAAGTCATGAAAGCGATATCATAAAACCTGTTATAAATACAGGTTGGTCGAAAGGAGGCGGAGACAATTACCAACGAAGTTATTCTGTAGACAGTTATGGTGGTCATTGGGGAGGGGGAGGAGAAAGGGGTGGAGCTTATGACGGGAGCTATGGAGCATTCCATGGAGCAAGCTATGGTCCTAATTATGGATATGATAATTATTCTGGAACCTACGGGAACTATGGAGGAGGGGGAGGGGGAGGGTATCAGAGAGGGTACTCGTATGAGGATAGAGGACCAGGTGGTGGTGGTGGTCAGTATGGTAGGAGAGGAGGGCGGGGTTTTCAACACCAGCACAGCAACTATTATTAATAATAATATGCATGATTTAGTTATTATTGATGACATTTGCATGTATGATTAAAGACATGTTTTGCATTAATTTTGTTGTACATTGTATCTCATGTAATCTCAGTGTTGTTAGTTTGCTGTTACAATTGTTCTTATCATATTGACCTTTATTCATAATAGTCACATGATATTTAGTCACATGATGTATATAGTTACATGCTATATCCACCCTCTGTAGTTCTATGATGGCTTCGTTCTCAAAAGATGAGCTTTCATTTGTTAATGAAATACCTGATCAAATTGAGATAGAGTGTCCAGTTTGTCTTCATATCTTTACAGATCCTCATCAGGTGAGCTGCTGTGGACATAATTTCTGCAAGTCTTGTATTGAGAGAGTAAAGCATGATAATGGATCCTGTCCTATGTGTAAAGAGGAGGCGTACCAATCCTTTGCAGATAAAAATATCAGTCGAATCATTAACGGGTTACAAGTATATTGTACCAATGAAGTGGAAGGTTGTCAATGGAAAGGAGATTTGAAGTACCTGCCCACTCACCTTAATAAAGGGAAGAGAGAAGGAGATTGTCAATTTGAAGAGTTCAAATGTCGATATTACGAGTGTCAAACAAAAGGTCAACGTCAGCATCTTAACGTTCATGAGGAGGAGTGGTGCTACCAACGACCGTACAGTTGTGAGCATTGCTATACAGAAGGTACATATTCATTTATTACCTTCTTCCATATAAAAGTTTGCTCAAAGTATCCTACAAAATGCCCCAACGATTGTACAAGTTCTGTTATGCCTCGAGATAGTGTTCCTGATCATTTGACACAGTGTCCATTGGAGCCAGTAGATTGTGTGTTTAGTTGGGCTGGTTGTAATGATAAGCCATTACGTAAAGATGTAGATGACCACACTGCTGATACTAAACACATGACACTATTAGCTGTAGCTTTTGGACAATTGAAGAAAGAAAATGAACAAATAAAAGAAGAAATGAAAAAAGAAATCGAAAAATTAAAAGAAGAAAATGGAAAAATGAAAGGAATAAATGCCCGAACACTGTCTTGTCTTAAAGTTATTAACAATGATTCACATCCTATTCTACCAGTCACAGTTAACAGACGTGGTGATGTTGTTCATTTCTATACTGAGCTTGGTGGTCATCATATGTCAGCTGCCTTTCTTGAACCAAGACTCTACCTTGCGTTTCATAATGGAAAGTTTGATAAACTCCGTGCATTTTCCCAGCCTAAAATTTTATTGAAATATGATGGTATTGATGCACAGCCTGTACAGATAAAGTCTTATAGAAAAGTATATAATAATATTCTCACACAGGCAGTAACGGAATCTTCAAAAATGCAAGATATTGGACTAACTTCCATAGATATTTTTCGTTTCATCAACATCAACATTACACTTACTTCTTCTAATGAAGTCACTGTGACAGTGAAGCAAATGTCCAGACCTTTGCCTTAAAATTTTAGTGAAGGAGTGTGGTCCCTTAATGTTTTAGTCAAATAGTATTTTTATTATGATGTGTGCTTTTTAATTTTTTATTACAGAGTGAACAGTTTTGGTATGTATGTACCGGTATAGATTGCTAATTAAATATTGGCTTCAGTAATCATACCATCAATATCCTTTGAAGACAGTCTACATATAGAGTGATAAGAGGAATGTGAAATAACCAGTAGAACAGTAATAGCCTATACTATTAAAGTTACTTTAATTTGTAACTCTGAATACAACTTATACATTGTCAAGAAACCATTTTCAATTTAAAGCCATTTTAAATGGCTTTAAATTGTCCATAGAAAATATGGGGGAGGAGGGGGTAGAGGAGGGTATCAGAGAGGGTACTCATGAGGATAGAGGACCAGGTGGTGGTGGTCAATATAGTAGGAGAGGAGGACGTGGTTTTCAATAACCAGCACAGCAACTATTATTTAATAATACATGAATACCACATTTGTGTAGAGCTCAACATTTTTATACTGAAATTGGTGGTCATCATATGTTAGCAGGCTAGCAGCTCATCTTAAATCAGGAAAAATTGGCCTTGCAGTTGCATTTCATGAAGGAAAGTTTGACGGACTCAGTTGTGCACTTGGCCATCCAAAAATTTTCTGGCAAGAATATGCTTTTTTACCAGGCCTAGGAAAGCATGTGGGATACTCATATCAAAAGTTAGGCTATGATGTACTCGATCAAGCCCCACTGCATTCACAATCTTCAGCGCTTGAAATTGTTGGAGAATGGGTGCAAAGTATATTTGGATCAGATCCAACAGGACCAATTTTAATAAATGTCGCCTGCAAATATTTTGACATTGTTCTTACTTCTCCTAATGAAGTCACAATTATTGCTCATTATAGTTTTAAAAACAGTTTTCAGAGGTAGCGTTTTATATAATGTTTTATAGGTCTAGTAACATTTTTATTTAGAACGATTTAGGCAATTAGGAGAGCACTAATAATGTGTG